ATAATAATAATAATAATAATAATAATAATAATAATAATAATAATAACAACAACAACAATAATAATAATGATAATAGTAGTAATAGTAATGATAATAATAATAATAACAATAATAATAACAATAACAATAATAATAATAATAATAGCATTAAAATCGTTGCAGATAGCCGATAATTATAAGGCATTGCGGACATGGACGAAAAATGTTGATATATTCAGTGCGGATTATGTTGTTGTTCCTATTAATGCTGATATTCACTGGTTCGTTTTTCTTCTGTTTCTTCCTATTTCTTTTTTTTTTCGTGAGGGTTCTCTTCGAAGCAGTGATATTCTCTTTGAGAAGAATCTCGCACTTTTGTTGACATACCAGTGCTCTGTTAGGGCCATAGTATAGTGACTTGTGCAAAAGTTTGTTAGCAATAGATATGCACAGTTACTGCTAGTTATCACGGATACCTGAAAAAATGGGGAGTGTGTACGCTGTCAGTGGTAGCAGCCAAGCAGTATATGTATCTGAATGGCATACGTAGAAATGTTAAAGCTACATTTGCTTTTTGTAGAGCAAAAAGGACTTTCTGAAGTTTCAGCTTCCAATCTTGTCTGGTCTCCGAAATCGCTTTTCCGCCAAAAAAAAATAAATTTTACGAATTTTTTAAGGAGCCCGTACGTGAGTCCCAGGTGTAGGAAGTGATCATTTTAGAGACGGGATATTGTACATAGGGCAAACTGGCATTTAATACTTTTTGAAGAATCCGGAGATAGGGAATATAAGAGTGCTGTGAATTGAGCAGTCACTTTGAATTTCCGAGATAATTTTCGCTTCAATATTAAGCTTTTTTTAGGTTTCTGGCAATAATTGCTTTTCCACGATATGCCATTGTGGACAGCAGTGAGTCGGAGGCAACGTCGAGTGATGCGACATTGGAGAAATCCCGGAAAGCTCGCATAATCGTACTTGATTCCTTGGAAGATTCTAATGATGTAAAGAGGTCTGTCTTCTGTGTTTACAAAAATGAGACGAAGGATGTCTGTGAGTATGCGAGAAACATTTAAGCGATATAAATATTGGTAAACTGGGAGACGTCTGCATACAAAGAATCTTTACTTTACTAAGTTGAAAAATGTTCCGCGGGAGGTTCCAGATAGTTATTTGCCTCTCCTCTCTCTCTCTCTTTTCCTGTGTTCTTTTTTTCTCAAATTCCTTGGACCATTTGCTGCTTCTCATTTTATTCCTACAAATTTTTTTAGTCTTCAATATTTTACTTTCCCCTTAAGTTGTAATGACGTCGCATCGGTCATACTGACGAGTTCCAGTTATGCTGCTGAGCTGGCTTTTATGTCATTCTCTCACTTATACTTTGTGTTTTCTTTTCTCGTTTTTCATGCGTTTTTTCTGCTATGCATTAGCTGTACAAAGCGCATATTGTAACAACTCTGTCTGTGTTTGTGTATGTATACGTGTCCGAGTGCATTTTGGCAGTTTTTACTTCGGGACCACAAAAGCTAGGAAGCTGAAAATTTAAAGGAAT